ACAGTAGAGGATGGAAACCTTTCACAAACTTATTTATTTGAAAATACAAATATAAAATTATACTTTCCACATCTGTGATGTGAGAGACCCCCATCCACATAGTATTTTACAACAGGGCTTCAGAAAGCCGTACACAGAGACCTGAAAGATGCTTGATATATATAGATACATATATATATGTATATATATAAAAACAAAAAGTCACTACCAAAGTTCTCATCAGTTCATACTAAAGTATAAAAGGAAGGGCTAGGCCTGCCGCTGTGCCATGGGTTATGTCGGTGCCGCCGCGCTCGCCGCTGGCGCGCGCGGCTCCGCTGTCTCCGTTTTTGGTAATTTATTTGTTTTATTACAGTATTAAAGTATTGCTTAGCTTACAGAGCCGCTGGGCGCAGCGCGCGCCGCGGGGCCGGCACCCGCACCACCGCCCCGGTTCTCTCTGAACCACTTCACTTCTTAACAAAAAAGGTTAAAAAAAAAAAAAAAAACACTAAAGAAGAAGAAAAAAAAAAAAGGACAAACCGAGAAAATTCCACCTGGGAGACATCCCCATAGCGCAGAGGACACTCTGAGTTAGTGTTTTTTTTTTTTTTTTTTCTCTTTTTTTGTAACCAGTGGGGTGGGTGCCCGGCTGGCGGGGCTGCGGGGGGCCATGCTACCTTAGAGGCCGGGCTAGGAGAGGGGCCGGCAGCGCCGCCGCGAGGGACCTGGGTCGGGGTCTCCAAGTGCTCACGCGGGCAGCGCTGAGGGGGCTGCCGCTCCCCTCACCTCGCGCTCCCACGCTCCGAATTCAGGGGGCTGCTGCTGCTGCAGGCAGCCTTCCCCCCGTGGGAAATTTGGGGAGGAAAAGGGCAATTTGGGTCCAAGCTGCGCTGGACTAAAACAACGATATTCTTAGCCTTTTCCTGCAAAAAAAAAAACCACTAAAAATATGCACCAAAAGAGTAAATGAGCAGCCTCCCTCTGAAATGGATCTCTGGCTGAGCTGGGGCCCCGCGGGAGCCTCGTGGAGGCGGCCGCGTGCCGGACACCGCGATGCTGCAGCACTTGTGCTCGGGCCACGGGCTCCTCCAGAGGGACAGAACACCGAAAACATCGCCACACTGATCAGCCATTTCTTCTGAGCAGTCTTAAAAAAATATGTTTCTTTTTTTTTCTCTTAGTAAAATTGTTTGAATATACCGTGTCTCCCTCTTTTTAAAAAATAAACTAAAAATAATCCAGTTTTGCATATCTAGCATTAGCATTTAAGGTAGTATGGCACATCCCCTTCCAAAGTCAAGGGTGGGGATCTACAAAACGCCTTAGGAGTTTGCCAGCATCTTTAACAATGTGAGACCTTTGGTTAGTTGAAACCACATCAGATCAGCCAAAAAAAAAAAAGAAAAAAAAGAGAGAGAAAGGGAAAAAAAAAAGAGAAAAAAAGGAAAAGAAAGAAAAGGAAAACTTCCAAAAATTATTATTATTTTTTCTTAAATAAGAGAAAGTTCTATCCTTACTGGTCCTAAATCTGAATAACTACATCTAAATTTTTAACCTTAATTACGATACACCTACCAATATGTACTAGAAGAGGAAGAGAGAGAGAGGGGGCGTCACTACACTAGCATCAGGACAGCACTGGGACAAGAGAGACGTTTTATACACTATCAACACACAGCGATGAGCAACGAAGAGAGGCCGCGGGCGCCGGGGCCGGCGAGGAGCCCGCGGCGAGCGCGGGACGGCGGCGCCGCGGCCGGGACCAACCCCTGCCTCGCCCGCCGGCGCGCAGGGAATTTGGTTCGTTCGTTGGGTTTTTTTTTTTCCGTTTTTATTTTTTAAAGAATCGTTTTCTTTATTTGTCTTATTACTTGATCAAGTCTCAATATTTAAAAAGCGTCCAGCATTTTGCTTAAACCTGGTTGTTCTGAAATAAGAAAAAAACCTAAAATATTACACAAAAAAGCATGATTCTTTTTATTTTAAAAACAAGAAAAAAACAAGGTTTTCTCCTGTCAGTTAGCAGTATGGTGCCTTGTTTTTGTTACAGATGCCTTGCTCTACCTTGTCTATTGAACGTCTACATTAGTCTACTTGTTAGTAAAATTTACAAAAATAGGAGTGCAGCAGCTCTTTTTAACAAATGTCGCATTCAGTGTCTTATACTGGCTGTACCTAAAGTACCAAATTTATAAACGTAACAATTTAAAAAAATATTAATAAAACTTGTCAATATTACGTTAAAAAAAGAAGAAATATATCCACACTACAGTATGTTCTTAATGCCACCTACCATGCTGTACTTCTATTTTGCTGTTGCAGGCCTATTCACCAATATTAAAAAAATTAAATTAAAAAATATCCTTCATAAGTTTCCTCCCCCAACAGAGGACCATATATATAACAGCCAAATATTAAACATGTGCAAATAGGAAACTGTCAGTTTTTCCCCTACCAGTCACAGTGCAATGATGTTTTATACTTTATTTTTTTTTTAAATTCTGTTTACAACTACAATAAATTAAAATCTTCCGTTGCTTCTAGGGTGATACTTGTAGCACTGAGGTATTCCCAAAACAAAACAAAAAAAAAAACGAAAACAAAGTCGCTTTCCTAATTTGTTAATAGAGAGAAAAATGGATAAAAAGGGAAGGATGCAAGTGCTGCCCGCTCCTCTGCCGCCCGCAGAGCCCTGCAGCAGCCAGCGCCGGGACAGCAAGGCCGTAATCGAAACGAGCGACTAGGAAACAAAACGTGTGCTTTGAACTTTAAAACGTGTCAAACATTAAAACCGCAGTAGCTTCTTTTTTTTTTTTCCGGCGGGAAGGGCCAGGTCCCTTGGGAGCGGCGGGATGGGACCGGGGCAGCCCCCGCGCCCGCCTGCTGCCTTCTCCCGACAGCGGGACTGCCTCCCACTGCCTCCAGCACAAAAATAGTCTTTATTTCTCTTTCTTAATAGTTTCTACGTACTTAATGGAATTGTATTTACAGCATTTTTTTTTTTTTCAGAATTCACGATTTCAAAAAAATCCTTATATCACCTCTTTCAACCAAAAAAAGCACTTATAGAAAAAGGGCGCGCAAAAATCTTGTCGCCCTTGCCTTATTGCCGAAAATAGGTTATAATCAGGTTAACAAAGACGCCACGAACAAAAAGAAGGGCCCGAGGAGCTGCTGGCAGGCGGGATGCGCCGGGTTGGTACCCGTGGGCTGAGGAGTGCCGGCTGCCTCGGCATCCCTCAAGCAACAACTCCGGGAAACAGGAGGGAGAAGGAAGGGAGGGTAAAAAGGAAAAAAAAAAAAAAAAAAAAAAGAAAAAAACAAAGAAAAAAAAGAGAAAGAAAAGAAAGCCAGAAAACTCTTAATATAAACAGTTACACTATGGTTAGGCGCTTACTGGTACACAAAGAATTAGGACTACGTGGCTACGAGACTATGTCAAAATGCTACGAAAAAACGTGATTTGATAGGTTTCAAAAGGAAAGGTGGGGAAGAACCCATTGAGAAAATAAAATGAAGGAGAAATGGGTTTATATACATACTTTAAAAGCTGTTGTTTTTATAGTACAGCAGATTGATGAGATGATGAGCGCGCTTTGTGTTTGCTTTCGAAGCGCCGCGGTGCGTCGCGTGCCACCTCCGTCGGCGGGTCGGGTGCGGGGGCCGCGGGTCCCGCGGGGGCTGCGGGTCCCGCGGCGGCGCCCGGCCGCGGCTCCGCTCAGAAGCTGCGCCCGCCCTTGCCCGGGCACCCGGAGAGACCCTGCGGGCACAGAGCACAGCGCTTAGCGCCCGCGCCCCGCGTGCCGGCCCGACGGACGCCTCCCTGCTGCTTTGCGCTCCTTTGCTATTTTTTTTTGCTATTTTAGGGGGGCTATTTTGCTTTTTCTTGTTTTCTTTTTTTGAGTTGCATGCAAGCGTGACTCAAAATGTCAATAATAAGAAGGGCGCTGATCCCCAGGCACTCGCGGGGCGGCGCTCGCCCGGCTCAGCCCCGTGCCGGGAGGGAGGCACGAGGCCGGTTTCCTCCCTCCGCAATCGGCCGGAGCAGCGGCCGGGCGCCTCCCTGCTCGAGCCGCGGGCCGAGGGCCGGGGCTGGCCAGCGGCAGCTGGGATGGAGCTCGCTGGCCTTTCCTCTTTCCCCTTAAAAATGAATTTCTTGGTGGCCGAATCAATTCAGGCAGCAGTTTCCAGCAATCCCATGCCTGTACTGGTGGGTGAAGAGCAAGCCCACAAGTTGATCCACCAGCATTTACACAGTTTTTATGCAGTTTAAGCCTCCAGATGTTTGCCACAAGCACCGCCAGCTCCCAGCCCTCGGCTGCTGCACCCAGGGGCCAGCCCGGGCTCGGGGCCGCACCGCGACCAGCCACGTTGCGCTGCACCGAGGCCCTCAACAGGAGCAACTTGTGCTTTCTTATCAGCTGACTTCTCTAATCTAAGCGATTCCCAGCATTAACAATACTTGTTTGCAAAGATGAATATGCCAAAGGCCAAAAAAATAATAAAAAAAAAATTAAACATTTAATTAACTCAAGCTTAGTTCAAAGGGTAGGAAACTGGCAGCATTCCAAGGATGCATTACCCAGGTAATGTCTCTAATTTAATTTGCTTAGGTTTAATTTTAATCTTGATAATTGCTCTATGGTTACTAGTCACAATGTTATCTTTTAGTTTTAATATTTAATTGATATTAAAGTTAATCCAGAAGGATGGGTTTCGCTGCAGCGAGGCGGGGGCTGCCCCGGGGGGTCCCCAGGGCTCCGGGGGCTCTGGACCCTCCGGAGGCTGCACTGAGAGCTGCCAGAAGGGAGAAGCGACTTTGGGGGGTGCCAGCTCCTGATCTGCTTTCCAGTTTCCAACCCGGACATTGATTTAAAAAAAATAAAGCACAAAAAGGAATGATTAAAGGCCAAGGAAAGACGAAATGAAGAGGAGAATTTGTTCACTTAAAAGTAGATGGGAGGGAGTGGTAGCTGAGCACAGAGTACAGATGGTGCAGACTGCAATACCTCCAAGTGAGATGGCAACCACCCATGTGTAACGTTTCAATGGTATCCATTTGTAAAAGCCGTTGCAATCAAAGGTCCCTAAAATTGTACAATTGTTAAGTTCATCAGTGCGCTATACATGGGAACAGATGATTATTAATTTTGGCAAGAAATTATCGAAGGCCTTGAGGCCCGTGTCGCCAGCATGAATGGGAACTTCCGACAGCTTTCCGGCCACCAGCGACCCCGGGGCTCGGCTCCAAGGGCACCTTTCCGAGACCAGCTTTTGGACTTCCTTTTTTTTATTATTTTCAAGTCAGGATTAGTAAATGGAGGCTGTTAAATACACATAGAGGGGTGTGTGCAAAAGAGGCTGCTGGGTTCTTCATGGTTATTGCAGGGTAGGCAATAGAGGCTGCCGCTGTGCGTGTCCAAGGCGGAGTGCCGCTCGGAGCAGGTTAGTGCGGAGCATCGGGCACCCGCGGCACCGCGCCGGCCCGGCGGGACAGCCAGCGCCCATGGGCTCCCGGCGCCCAAGCTCCTCATGGAGCTGAGCAGCACGGAGGGGACAGTCAAGTGGCTACAGCGGCCACTCAAACTGAGGCCACTCTTGGCAGAACGGAACCATGCAGCATCATCCCGGACAGATCCCAGGGGTTCTCCCGGCCCGCAGGGGCTGAACTGACCGAGAGCGCGGGGCACAAACGAGAGGCCAGAAAAGGGCTATTTTCTTTTTTGTTTTTTTTTAGGGGGGTGCTCTTTGTTTATGCCATGTAAACAATTCCAGGGGCTGTGCCATAGGCCAGCCCTGTGGCCGAGCTGGGGTTAGGTTTCTGGAGGAGCAGCAGCCCCTCAGCACGGCGCGGCGGCCGGCGGGCGCCCTGGGTGCTGCGGGGCCGCCCCGGCGGCGGCGGCGGCTGCGGACACATCCACGTTCATGCTAGCGCACAGGGGCACAGCTGAAGCCATGCTCCGTGTTAGGCGAATCTCGCGGCCGCCGTTAGTGTGATCGGAGCGCTGGGCGCGCTTCACGGCGGTGCCGAGGCCAAGCGGGAGCCACTTCCCGGCACCCCGCGGGTGCGCGTCCCGGGGCAGCTGGCAGCCGCGGCCCACGAGGGGAAATGCCAGCCGCCCCACGCCACCCGGCCCCGGCACAGCCCGGGCCCACAGGCACATCCCGATGGACAGCACAGCTGAGTGCCCCACGGCACCCGCGGGAGCCTCCCACCGGCTGAGCAGCCGGACACCCAGACCCAGGCTGCTGCCTCGGCCGGGCACGGCCAGCGCAACCCCAGGCACCCACACAGAGACATCACACACCTTAAAAGCACGTTTTGTACATGCTAAGTGCCTTGGCACGCGCAGCGCGGCCGCGCGGGTGGCACGGTGCCCGCGAGCCCTCGGCGCCCGTACTCACCGCGATGCCGTGGCCGAAGCCGGAGCCGGGCTGCGGGCTGGCCGCGCTTATGTAGTTGCCGACGCCGGAGTCCTGGCTGGCCGTGCCGTAGAGATCCGCCACGGGCCCCGGGCTGTTGGCGCCGGGGAAGCCGCCGGGCCGCGCCGCGCTCGAGCCTGCCGGGGAAGCGGGTGCGCCAAAATTCGGTTGAGCACTGTAGCTATTCAAGACTGGTGTGCAGAGAATAGAGCTGGGTATGAGGCCGGACGCCGGGCATGCACCCGTCTCACAAAGCCAAACACTAGAACCAACAGCCTAGGCCCGACTTCTAACACTTAACCAAGGCCATGCGATAGGAGAGCAAGGACTCGATAATAGTCAGCCCGGACTACTACGAAGCTTAGAGCTCCAAAATATATATATGGATATATATGGAAAAAAAAAGAACAATCATTCAACACACTACTGCAACCAGAGACTGTAGGTGCTCATTTTCACCAAATTATCACAAAATGTAATAGATATTTTCCAACATCTGACTTGATGCTCATGCAGTAGTAACAAGTTCTCTAGGTCTGGGCACGCCGAGACAGCATTCACATCCCATGCAAACTACAAAGGAACTAGTTTGAGACTACACATTGTGGTAATATTGATATTAAAATGTGGACAGCAAGAAAATGACTTTGGTCACATCTAGCAAAAATCATTTTGGATCCATTTGATACTTTGGAAAAAAACCCACCCTTTTAAATCAGTGAGCTGTAGAAATAGTTCAATAGTTGCTTTTTTTTTAATGGTATGGAATGGAACAGTTTAGATTTTTTTAGTTGTTGTTTTTAATACAACCAAGGAGAGTGTTTTTTATTTAATTTTTTTTCCTTTTGATTTGGAGAGCGAAGACCTACCTTCGTCTCCAAAACCATGCTTGGGACATCAACCAAAATTAAACAAACAAATAAAGATCAAAAGCAAAAAAAAAAAGAAAAAAAGGAATTCCAGAGGTTGTATGGAAACTCACCTCCTAACGTGGAAGTAAAAGAAAACTTTTTTTTGTTTCCTCCCTTTTTATGTTTTTTGGGGTTTTGTTTTTGAGACAGAAAACAATGTAAACAGGAATGAGGCTAGAGCGTAACTGCAGGTTAGAGCATGTTAGATGGTCAGGCTGCTGGCACCGCTCACAGTCACACTGGGATGTGGAACTCATGGAGGAGGAGGAGGAGGGTTCGATGCGGAGAGGAGCTGGCGGGCTAGGATGGAAATGGCTGCTGGAGCTGCGGAGCCCGAGCCGGCTCGCGAGCGGGGATGCTGCTGTGTCCCGCGTGGCGCCCCGAGGCATGCACCCGTGCTCTGCATCCCGCGGCATGCGTCCCGCGTCCAGGAAAGGCCTCCCGGCCCCGGGGCACCAGGCGCTTCCAGGGCGCTCCTAGGCTTTTCCCGTGTGTCTCCTCCTAGTCTGCTCCCTGCACAGCAGGGCGGGCTTGCCAGGCGGCTCCGCGCCGTGGGCCTTCCCGTGCCGCCAGGGCACACCACAACACGAACGGCACCAGCATCTCGGAGATGCCACGGGCCGGGTTCACTGCTGTGCTCCCCAAGCCTGTCGCCATCCCCATCCCACCCGCCCTGCCAGGCGATCCGTTTCCCTAGGGAATGAGCCAACTCGCCCAAAGCGCCAGCGGCCACTGCCCCTTGTGCCGGCGGGACGGCGGTCTCGGGGGCCACCCCCCTCCGGGCGGCTCTGAACCCGGAGAGGGCAAGTAAGTAGGTCAGGCAGGCAGGCGGGGTGCCAGAATACAGCAGGAGCGAGTAAACACATTATTTGGGAATTCACTGGCAAACAAAGCACCGTTTTTTTGTTATTAAAGATTAAATGTCAAGATAACATTTGGCCTTCTCACTCATGGAGAAAAATATCCTGCTGAGATGTTCAAAAGCCCTTCATTACTGTAAGCTAGCGCCTTTTTTCCCCCTCTTTTTCTTCCTCCTGGTTCAATAAAGAAAAGATCAGGGTTTTGCTGCCAAGTTGCCCATTCAAGCAAAGCCGCTGCTGCCACGGCCGGAGTTTGCTCGGAGCTGCCGTCCTCACGCAAAGGAACACCAGGACTTGCACTGAGGTGCAAGAACCCCCCAAATTGCAGAGGAATCCCCAAAACACGTGGCTCTCACCCGCAAATGCAGGAAGACCTGCCTAGAGAGCAGAGCTGCCCATGCCACGACACGCTGGTTCCCCCGCAGCACAAATCGCTGCCGGAGAAGCCGTGCGCACTAAGCCGAACCGAGTCCTTCCTAGCTGGGATGAAGCGTCCTTGTGAGCATGGTGCAGCCCGGCCCCGCTCGCGGCCCGCACGGCGCCTCGCTCACATGCTGCCGAGCAGCGGGACCCTTCCGCTGTCCCCATCACAAGAAAAAGTCTCAGAGCAAAGCCAGTACCCGCTGCCGAGCCTCGGAGCTCACAAGATCAGCCTGGGCTTGGGCTTTTCTGTCTTTATGAAAACCTCATGCAACAGGCTGCAAGCATCGCCTTCCTGGCCAAAGAGCCGCCGACCTCGGCGCGCAAGGAAGGGTGCTCTGCTCCTCAGCTGCAAGGAAGGGCGCTCCGCTCCCGCCTCTTTGCACACCCGGCTGTCCCAAAGGGGAGGCTGAGAGCCACCCTGCAGGCGCATGCTGCGACCTGGCACCATGGATCGTGCCGAGAGCTTGAATCTCTGGATTTAAACCTCTGGATCTCTCCGATGGACATCCCTAGGAAGAGGGAAAGCTCCAAGCTACCCTAGTGCAGCACAGAGACAGAGCTGGCCGTGTCTGCAACCTCGGGAGGCTCAAAATCCAGGTGCTCCCGGGCTCCCAAGCAGCTGCTGTCCCTGTGCCGCGGCACCGCCGCACCCCCGAGCAGGCACCAATGGCCCATGCAGATCCCTGCGCATTCCCACCCGGCGTTTCCGAGCCCTGCACGATGCTCCGCTCAGCAGCGTGATGCTCCTTCCAGCTCAGGTGCCGTTTCCTGCGAGCAGTCGTTGTCTGCTGGCTACATGTGCCCGCCGCGGGGATCCGGTGGCCCCAGGCCGGGCTGCGGCGGCGCGCGGAGCCCGCTCACTGGGGCTGCCGTCGGGCACCGGCTCCTGTCACAGCCCTACAAAAGGATTTCCTCTCAAGCAGCTCATCTTTAATCATTATAAAAGCACAGAAGTTTAATCCATTTTTGATGTAAGCGCTAATAGCTTTGTGTCCTTGAAGTTCAAAGTGGTCTTCGTGCATGTCGCTAATTAGCCGAGCAAGCAGCCATTCAGCCTCCTCTCATGTTTCTAATTAGATCCTTAACAACAAACAAATGTCGACCTTACAAAGGCTGCGCTGCGCTTCCCTCCATTAGTCGAAGGGTTGGGGAGGGAGGCGCTGCGGTGGCTCCGGCTCCGCCACCGTCCCCTTCCCGGCTCCCCGCGGCGGCGACGCGGCAGCTGCCGGGGTGCAGCCCAGCGCCGCGCGGCACGCAGCCCTTCCGCACGCGGGACACGGAGCCGGCCAGGGCTGCAGGGCTCGCAGCAAACCCCAGCAGCGTCAGGAAGCCCACGAGCTGTGCTGGCCCTGAGGACTGGGGGCAAGGGAAGGGAAAAGACAACCCAAAGCATCCATAGCGGAGCGCTGAATTGGCCAAGCCGAAGCGCAGCGAGCGCGGGGCTCCTTGCTCCCGACTGCCCGCTGCTGCGCCGGGCTCTGCCGCGGCACCGCGCGCCTTCCTGCCCAGTCCAGGGACCCACGGGCCTACGCAAACACCTGCAAACACCCGCAAACACCCGCAAACACCTGCCTGCTGGCACCGCCTGGCACAGGGTGTCAAGGGCGCCCAGCGCTCCCAGGACCAGAGTCCGGTGCTGCCCTCGGGATGCAGTGCCTTCACGGTCACTGCCATCCGTGCAGCTACCAAGGCTTGTGATTCGGAGCGGATCCGGAGCACTGCCCGCTTCCCAGCGCCACCCGAAGCCCAAGCGGGGCTCCGCAGCGCCGTGCCCTCGCCGAGCAAACGCGCTGCCGCTCCCACCACGGGCGGTCGCATCTGCATTAATTGTTTACCACAGCCCGGACAGGTCTTTTATTAATATTAATGAGTAACAGGGAACAAAGGGCCCCTTTATTTTTAGCCTACTCTAATTGCGTAGTAATTACTCATCTACAAAACAAATGAGCCGAACTCCATTGCCATGGCAACCGAAACTCCGGCCTCCCAGTGCAACGCATTAGCTGGCGATCGCTCCCGTTAATTTTAAATTGCAGCCTTTTGTACAATAACAGACAAAAGAAGAGGCAAATTAAAACAACAGCGTACACGGTTGGGCCGCGGCGGCCGGGCGGCAGCGGCGCCCACGCAGAGCCTGCCCGGCGCCTGCACCGGTCGCTGCACCCGGCAGCTCCTGCAAGGGCCCTGCAAAGCTGGCAGCATCCCATGGGATCCGGCAAGGCACGGGATCCAGCATCCCATGGGATCCAGCGCGGCAGCAGCGGTTGGGCGGGCGCTCTGTGGATCCGGTGCTGCTCCGGCTAGTCCTGCGCCGGCGCGGCCGTCACCACAGGTACCTGCGAGGCGCTGCCGGCACCAGCCTTTCCTCCTCGCACGCAACCCCGCTGGCTGAGAAGACTATTAAAAGTTAGCTAATAAATTCATTAAAGATTAACGTGCCCTGTACTTAAGCCTGCACTTCAGGGGTGGTCACTAATTGCACTGGAGATGATTTATCAAGTGCACAAGATTTCCTATTACAAAACTATTGATCGAGGTGGATGAATTTTAACCGCGACAGACCTGGAGCAGGGGCCTCGTCCGACGGCTGCAGCTGCGGGCGGCGCCGAGCGGCCGCAGCACCAAACCACTTCCCATCTACCGCAGCGTTTATGTGAGCCGGGGCAAGTTCAGTCCCTCGAGGGCTTTCAAAGAGCACCAATTGCATCCTTGAATAAAACAGGACAAACAGCCCAGGGCCCTGGGAAGCACCTTCGTGTCTTCCCGCTGTAAGGGGGTGGAAGCCGCTTCCAATCAAGCTATGAGCTTGTGACTGTGATAGAAGGGGTCCCATTTGGTAGCACCGAGACACAGAGCTCCCTGTCACCTCTGCCACCTCCTCGGCTGCCGCCCGCATCGCTCCCATTAAACTTCATGTACTTTTATACAGCAAAATAAAAGCAGAGCAGCAGCTCTGCAGAGGAATGCTCTCCAGGGGCCTCATAAATCCCGGCCGAGCTCATCCCTGGGCCCCGGAAACGCTCCTCCGTGACGACCTGGTGCCTCTGCCCCCACGCGCACAGCCTCTCCTCCGCCTTTTCAGCCACAATTTGCTAACACGATGGGTGCTTAATGACGAGATTAAATTTTCAGAGCACCTTCCCCGAGCGCAAGACAAGGCTTCCGAGGCCCCATGCAATTTGTCGCTCTGCTGACTTTTCGATACAGGCTGCACTCCATCACGCGCCTCGCGCTGCCCGCGGCCGCCGGCTCCTCGCAGGCTGCAAGGGGGAAATGACCCGACGGGCTAGCGCCTCGCTCCGTGGTGGTGACGAGGCTCTGGGGTGACAGGCCACCCCGCGCGGGCCGCGGCACCGCCGCGGCGCTGTCACAGCCAAGGAGCAGAGGGAGCCGTGCCGGGCGCTGCTCCGCAGGGCTCACCTCCCGCGGGAGCAGCACCCGCACGGCGGCGGCCGCCCGCTCCCGGCGAGCACCGCGTCCCGCCGGCGCCGTCCAGCCTGCTCGGCCTCCGCGGCGGCACGGCTGCGCGTGGCACACACAGCACCGCGGCCTCCCCCCCACCAAAGCCCCCCGCCCCGAGCCCCCGGCCCGGCCGCGGAGACCCTGGCTCCCCAGTGGGTGATCCGCGGAGAGCGCGACTGCTTGGGAGCGCCAACGATGGGGCTATGGGCTAACATGGACGAGTAACAGGCTGATGGAGAAACCATGGCTGTAGAATGATTTTTAGAAGATCTTGAACTTGTTTTTGAATACGAAATAAAAATAACAGAACATAGTTAGATTTGGTGTTTTAATTCCTAGAAGGGGTTAATTTGAAAAAGAAAAAAAAAAGAAAAAAGGAATCTGGTAAATTCGCCTCGAAGCCCGCGAGCATGCGGGTTCCCGGGGAGGGAGCATGTGGGCAACCTGGAGTCAGTCCAATGTGGCCTCCCGGGCGAGGGGATTCAGCCAAGGGGCCGCTGTGGATCCAAGCCCTGCGCCTTGCTGCTCGCCTACGCTCAGCCAGCGCGCTGCTCGCCCGGCCCCGTAATATCAACTCCCCAATGCATGTTCTACGACTACGGCTACCAGGACGACTACTACAGGGCATGCATTTAGTTCAGTCCCACAGATACATACACTCTAAGAACAGGCAGGGGAGATGGCAGATGTTTTACGGGACGACAGGTGTGTTTTGTGTGTTTTTTTTTTTAAATAAGGGGAAATCAATTAAAAAAAACACCAAAAGAAAGAAAGTGTACAAGAAAAAAAAAAAAAAGGAAAAAAAAGAGAGAGAGAGAGAGAGAGAGAGACATTTCTCGAGAGTTGATATGAGTCGTTTCTCGAACCGTTTTGTCCGAACAAGCAAAAAACATGCAACCAGCTGCTACTAACAAGAAGCTGGACACGGAGAGAGGATGAAGAGGTGTGGACAAACCTTCCCGCCGAGGGCGCGCAGCAGAGTGTTTGAGAGGAGGTGTGCACGTCCCAGAGAAAGAGAGGCCGCAACGTTTGCCTCAGAGACACCCTCTCTCACCGCAGCCCCAACCAAGCAAGAGAGAAAACAACAGAACGTAACTGCTCACACTCACCGTCAGGGTCAGTAGCTCGCGCCGCCGGCGCCGGGCTGGCAAGCGTAAAGCGCAGTAGGGCGTCTCGCGGCTCCGGCTGCAAGGGCAGCGGCGGCGCCGCGCGGGACGCGCTCCGGGCTCCGCCGCGCAGGGGAGCGCCCCGGGAACGGGGCTCAGCGAGCGCCGCTGCTAAGCCAAAAACCTAGCGGGGGACACTTCAAAACCCGGCCCCTGTTCCTGCAAATTTTCTGCAGCCCAGGCCAAATGCAACTGGAAAATGCCCCCCTCGCCCCAAGGTTTTCTCTTCAAAAAGTGTTTGTAAGATGGAAAAAGGTGTGACAGGTAAAAGGTGCTGGGGAGTCAGCACGGGCAGGAGGCCCAGCAGCGCCCGCTCCGCTCCTGGCGCCGGGACCGGGGCATTGAGCACCGCGGAAAGGAGACACTGCCGTGAGCTCCCGCATCCGGATACTCCGACCTGTCCCATGGGGACGCGGTGGCCGGTGCAGTGCGGGACGCTCCGGCTCCGGGACAGCGGGACACTCCCGGCTGCAGCCGCTTCCCGGCCAGCGCAAAGGCGGCTGATTGCAAAAGGAGGAGAAGAGAAAAAGCAAACACAGCCGGGCAGCGGCACAAGGGCTGCGCACATCTGCAAAAGCAGGGGGGAAAAATCTGAAAATGCAACCGAAGTAAAGCAGGAAAAAGCCAGGCCCTTGGGCAGGTGCAGGATGGGGCCGGCAGCGCAGCACAAGGGGCTGTTTTGGATCACTTTTGGGAGCATTTTGGCCACTTCTGGGCCCACAGGCAATTTGGAGGCTCAAAACACATTTTCAAACACCATACTGCTCTTTAAACTTGCCAGAAAGGGTGCTGTTAATTTAGGGTTAGATTTAGTTTCGTATTGCAAGTTCAAATGAAAATTAAAAAAAAAAAAAGAGAAAAATAAAAAAAGAAAGAAACAAAACAAAACAAACCAGGAAACCCAACAAAGGAAAAAAACAGAAGCCACTCAAATTAAAGACAAACGATTTTCAGGCACAGAATCGATCAATGCTCAGTTCAGTTGTAATGGGCACCAAAAGCACTCTGATTAAAAAAAGAATAATAATAATCAGGGAAGCAACGTTAATCCAGCCAAACCCTCTGTGCCTTGCTAAGGGGCAACTCACCAGGTCTGTTTGCACGTAAAACACAACCTGAAGGGCAAAACAGGAGGAAGAGGCAGAAACAGTGAGGTCTGTTTTCCCCAAATCATATGCAAAAAAAAATCAATCTGTTTTTTTTCTTTGTGAGTTTTCCTCGGAAAGGGGGGCGGCAGGAGGAGAGGGGACATGGGGCAGCCCCACGACCAGCCTGGCAGGTCACCCCTCGGGCGCTCTCGACATGCCACGGAACGAAACCGGTCCAGGAGTCCTTTGTAGCCTGCAAGCAGTGCCAGTTTGCATGGAACGGAGTTCTCCAGGGCTCGCGCGGGCCGCTGCGCCGCTCCGCGCCGGGCGCCGCTTGGCACGGCCGCGGGCGAGCGAGCCGTGGGCACGGGCAGCGGGGCCGGCCGCTCGCTCCCGGTCGTGCCGAGCGCCTCGGCCTCCGCGGCCGAGCACTAACTCACGCCTTCATTCTAACCTCAGGTAAGAGCGGTAGTTGGTAGCAATTTGTGTATTTATTTCCCTTAAGGGGAAAAACAGAAATCCAAGCCTGCAGAAGGAGGGGAAGAAAAGCTTTACTGTTTCCCACGAAAGGCAGCAGTGTTTGCAGGAGAGATGGAGGCAGCGCCTGGGAAGCAGGCACCAAATTCAGCAGCAAATTGGACCCAGCAATAGAGCATCGCTGCGGGTGCAAGCACCACTGCAGTGCATGCATTGCTGTGGGTGCAAGCACCACCATGGTGCATGCACGCACCACTGCAGGTGCACCATCACTGCAAGGGCATGCACATCGCTGCAGGTGCATGCACCGTTGCAGATGCGTGCACCACTGCGGTGCATGCGCTGTGTGGGGCTGGGGACAAGGCCAGCCACAGGGCTCCACAAGGGACGTGGCTCTTTCAAAAGGGGCAGCAGGAGAGGTGTCCTTGGGGACAGCATAAGTTGGGACCAGCCAGCCAGATGCTGCCTCACCCTCCCCTGCAAACTTTCTGTGAGAAATGAGAGCTTTTTTCCAACAGCACCGGCCTTTGATTTTATTCTTGGTGTCCTTTTTAACCCCGGACTGAAACCAAAAGGAAGAAACAAAGCAGTGCAGTAGGGGAAGGAGAGCTCGGGGAGGCTGCCCCGGCCTGGGGTGCTGTGGCCGCCCCCGTGTCGCTCTGGCCCCGGGGCCTGGCCCCTGTGGGGTCCCTGGGCTCCTGCCCTTTGCCTGGGGGTCCCTGGGGCGGGAGGGACCGGGGCTGCGGGCACCGACAGAGCGTTTACCTGACCCTGCCCTGCGCGGCTCTGCTCTTCCGCGGGCCCCCCTACCTGATCCTCTCGCCGCCGCCACGGCCGCCGCTGCCACTGGTCCATAAGCCGCCGCCGGGAAACCTGGGGAGAAGGAGAGGGGTGAGGAAGGGCCGGGGCGGCCGCCGGCAGCGCTGCGTGCGGAGCCCAGTCCCGGCCCCGTTGGGGCTTCACACGGGCCGGCCCGGACCCCGCGGCTTGGGACGGGAGGCACGAGGCACCGCGCGCACTCTGCTCCCCGCTGGTCTGCAAGGGCTCGTAACGGGTACGGGTGGAGACCACAGACCAGCAGGGAGCGAGCAGAGAACGGGACTTGGGAAAAGAAAAGAAGGGAGAAGGGAGAAAAAGCTTTGGAAAGCAAAACAGGTCAAGGCAGTGAGACCTGCACCCCTCTGCAGCGGGTGAGGAGCCCCGCGCACATGAAATGCTGCTAGCAGGATGGTGGGTTCCATTTCTTTGCTTGTAACTAACACTAACAAGCTCTGCGGGATGCTCCGATTGCAGATCTGCTGGAGGGGGTGGCAAGGCTGGGTGTCACCTGGAACACAGCCCGCCCGAGGGCAACCCGGCGCTCTGAGCGCCCCTGGCTCCGGGATGAGCCCCGGGACGAGCTCTGGGATGAGCCCTGGGGCCGCTGGTGCCCAGGCCCATGTGGTGCCAGGTGCTCGGGAAGCGGCGTGAGGAGGAGGCCGCGGAGGCCGGCAGGGACAGCCTGGGGCCGCTACCTCTAGCCCAGTGCTACGGCGTCTACTGGGAAGGAGCGGAGCGACTAGGCGGCACCACGAGCTACCAGGGAGCAACACAGACGGATGGACATACTTGCACTTAAGTATGGCAACAGGGCTGTTGGGGGAGAAAAAAGAAGTCCTGGTAAATGTGTGCACAGCTCCTGTGGGCACCCGTTGGAGCCGGCCCCCGCACAGCCCCCACGCACCGGCCCCGCTGCCCTCTAACACCAGCTGTAAATGCACAAATAAGTGCAATTTAATGGTCTGTTTGTTTGCTCCCAGTGTGTTGTTGGACGGTCACAGTTGCTGCAAAGGGGGAGACTGCCCAGACTGGTGGGAACTGCCACCGAACCCCGCTCAGCGTGAGCTGCTTTGCCTCCCATCACAGTGGTGAACACTCAACGCCACTAAGTCCCTGCCGCTCCCCTGGTACCAGCCCGGCAGCCACTGGGTCACCCTGCACTGCGGGCGGCCACGGGCCGGGAGCACGGGCCAGACGAGCCCGCTGCCCTCAGGCTCCCTCTGCTTTTTCCTGGGGAAGGCAGCAGGCGGGAGCCCAATTTACTGGGCAGAAAGGCAGGCTTAAGGGCGAGCATGAGCGCAAAGTGGCAGCGCCAGCTGAACACTGGGCTTAAGGGGTTCATCTTCGGTCTCCTCTGCCTCAGCCTCCCCCTTGTTTTCTGCACTGGAAACACGAATGAGGAAGAAAAACCCCTAACACTTCAAACTGAAAATAAATAACTAGAATGTCCAGCACTTGGAGAGGAAAAACACACAGAGGGGACGGCGTGGTCAGGTCGGAAAAATACTTATGTAAAAAATACAACACGCAAAAGCTGGTAGCAGTTTTGCCTCTGTTGCCTCTTACCCTATTTCAAAACCATGTGTATCCTATAATACACATCAACTCTGACTCTCACACGCATCCTAGGAAACTCTTCCTCCCACCTCCAACACCGCAGCTCAGCCTGGGATCTGGATTCTCCCCAGTTCTGTGACATGGGAAACTACTACGACTACTAAATGATCCAGTAAGTGTTATTAAAAGACAGATCCTGACCTGTGATGAGAGGCATAAAAACCACCCTGTGCCTAGCAGCAAAACCAGCACGGGCCAGCGGCAGCTCCAGAGGGAGGAGGAATCGCAGGCCAAGGGCATCGGAGGTGCCGGAGCGCGGAAGGAAGCGGTGCCCGCCGAGCACCAGCCCGTCCGGCACGGCGGGGACCCCCCGACTCTGCCCACCACTCACCCGAGCACCTCAAAGCCCTTCCTGCAGCCGGGACCAAAAAGCTTCCACCTTTCAACAAGCCATGCACAAAGGAGACTCGTCTCCAGAAGCTTTTCATTTCCTTTTGCGCCTTCCTCCTCAATTTTGAGTTAAAAATCATACTAATCGAGGTGTTAGCAACTAGTATCATGGCTCCATCAAACCACCCAGGCTCTCCAACAGCCGAGGCAGCATCACCCGCTCGCACTGCCCCTGGTCAGGGCACTGCCATCTTCTCCCATGCTGCTGCCTGCGCTCTTCTTATCACCGCTGCAAGTAATTAGTGTCCTTGCAGCGCCCAGGGCTGCAGCTGTGGCCGCTCGCCAGCCCGCAGAGCGCCCAGGAGAGCAGCTCCCTTGGGGCTCTCTCTCTTCCACCCTCCCTTTAGCTTCGCTCCTTTTCCAGGCTGCAGCCCTGAATATTTCAAGCTTGTCTCAAGCTCCACGGACCAGAGAGCCGCTTGGAACAGGAGGACATCGGGGGTGGTCCTGACAGCCCCGCCGCTCAGGCAGCTCCTCAGGGCAGCAGGGCCCCTCTGCCCAGCCCCAGCAGAAGCTGCAGCCCTTGCTCGGTCAGCTGCAAACCCGCTGAAAACCTGATTGGCACCAGGTGCCCAATGCAGCACCTGGCGTCTTGTTTTCAGCAGCAGGGGCAAAACAAAAGGAGACAAAAGAGGAGATTTAGGCGATTCGTTCCCACCGCACAAAGAACGCCACCGTCCCGAGAGGCGCCGCGGCTCTGCCGCAGCCCGTGTTAGTGCTGTGAGCGCAGCAGCACCCGAGCCCCAGCGGCCACGGCGCCGCTGCCCTGCAGCGACAGCTCCCGGCCGAGCTGCCCCCGCTGCCGCCCGCCAGCGCGGACCACACTCCTCCTCGCGCAGCGGCCCGGCCCGCACTGCGCGCTTGCACTGCAGGAGACCGGGACGGGCAGGCTTGAGAGCGATAATTGAGGTCGTTCTAGCAGATCTAATACGCACTTTGTAGACCACTTTCTGCCATGCAGATGCAGCTAAGGTGTTTAGGTGACTAAAGGCATGCAGCGCGGGGATCAGTAGAGCAGACTGCGAGCAGGTAAGAAAGGGTTAGATGAAGGAGCGAGGAACAGTTCCAACTGGGACGAGCTTAACCACCTGCACACACTATTCTGAACATATTCTGTGCTTCCTCCCAGCTTTGCAGCTGCCAGTGAATCCTGCATGCTTTTAAACACTCGGCGGGATCAATAACGTCTCCTGATCCGCTTGCATTGCCGAGGAGCGCGCAGGGCCCAGCGGTCAGGGACGGGACCAGCTGCTGTTCGTGGTGGCTCCATCGCTCCCTGCCGGGGCGGAAGCGGCCGCACGCGGGCAGCGCTTCCATCCCTTCCTCTCCTCACCTCTCGGCCTAGAGAGCGGCCCCTCTGAGGGCTCAGTGACCAGCACTAGCTCTGGACTTTGCCCTCATCTTGCTCCATGTTTTCACAGCACCAAGACGAGGCGTCTCGGCGCGACTGCACAGCATCGGTATTAATAAGCGAGTGGAGGTCCTGAGCCCTGGAAAGGTCGACAAAATATTTGTTTTTCCCACCTCTCCACATACAGAAGGGCTTTAATAAGCTTTAACAAACACACCAGCAAAGAATCCCCAAATTAAGGGGAAAAAAAAATTAAATTCCTGAGCTGGAGGTGGCCAAGCAATCTGTCAACCCCGGCTTCTGCTAAAGCAACAGGTTTTGGGGAGGGTCCTTTCCACTGCACCGAGCAGCGGGGCTCGCTGCACAGGGGGCTGCACGAGGGTCTCTAGCCGGGTCGGGCGCTGCCCCCGTCCTCTCCCCACCTACACCTGCGGCGTCTTCTCTTTCCACCCGGCTGCAAACACCTCCGTGTGCCACCTCTTCACGCACAGGGTCTCACACCTGCAGCGACGGTGGTTTCATCCTTTCATTAAACGGTCATTGGTACTGGTTATTTGGAGTGTCCAAACCAAAGCATCAGAACTGCAAGCTAAGAGAGCAGCAACACAGCATGTCCGTTGTAAACAATTTATTATTATTTTCTACCTCAGTTACTTACAGGAAAAAAAAGTCATAAAAAAGAAAACAACAGAAAAAAAAAAAGCACAGATGGACTATGTACAAAAAAAAGAGAAAATTCACAATAGCTGAAATGTTTGCAAATCATGCACACTAAGACAAGTTCACAAAAGCAAAGCAATTCATAGCAAAAAAACAAGCAAAATAATAAGAAGCCATACAGATTAAAAAAAAGCTATCGCCTGCAGAAAAGTAAAAAGAAAACTAACCAATTATTACATCAAGCATCTTTAATGAAATGAACAGCACAGCCGTGTATTGTAGAGCCTTTGACACTGACATTTTAAACAAGTGGATTAACAAACATTAAAATGCATTACAGTTCTACTGTAAGCATGCAATTTACTTCTCACAAACTTACAAAACGGGGAGCAGCACTGACAGCCCCCGGATTTAAATGGAGCGCGCGCCGCGGGGCGGCCGTGCAGGAGCTGCCCTGGCTGCAGGCGAAGCCGGGGGGCGCGTGGCACGGGGGGGGCACGGGGGGGTGCGTGGCACGGGCTGCAGCGCGGCCCCCGGCCCACATGGGAACCACTGGCCCATGATGTGCAAGCGACGCGCGGAGGCAAAGGCGGCGGTGCCGGGCGAGCGGCGCCCACGCGCGCCGGGGATGCCGCCCGGCCCCGCGCCCGGCCCTGCCCCGCCACGGCGGGCTCCCCACCGGCGCCGGCCCTACGTTACGGAGCGCCAACGCGTCGCCTCGGCGCTGCTTAGGGCGCCCAATCGTCAGTTTGGCTTCCTTAATTTCTGGGAAGTTTGTGAGAAGTCGTGCCTTCGACCGCCCCGTCCGGGCCAGTTACATTCCAGGTGGGCATTAAAACTCATAACAAAGCAGAGGAATAAAATTAAAAAGGAAAAAAAAAACAAACAAAACAAAAGCAAACTCAAAGCAGTGAGGATATGGAGCCTTTAAAAAAATAAAAATAAAATAAAAAGTCCAGTCAATCACACCAGCCAGTAAGAGCAGCATTTTTTCAGTGGACATGGGTATTAAACATGGACCACCCAGGCTTTTCTGTCTCTCTCTCTCATTAGCACTGTAGTAAACCCCGATTAATTTGTTATGCATCTTTAAGAACTAGTTGATAAAAATTATGTCTTGTGAAATCGGCAAATAGTCTGCAAAGTGAAATAAGAACAGAAATTAATAGATTAAACTGAAAAGATAAATCCAGAAATTAAAAAAAAAAAAAAAAAAGGAAACAGGCACAGAAAGGGAGCGGGTGCAGCTGCCAAACGAAGTGGCCGCGCTCGGGAGGGCCGAGCGACAAGGCGGAGAGGCCGGGGCAGCGCGAGGGCCGGCGAGCGCGGCGCCCTGCCCCGACCCGTGTCTGTCTGTCACCTGCCTCTACCACCACGTGCCGCGGCCTCCCCACCGCGGTGCCCTGGCAGCACCGCGCGTTCCCGCCGGCTGCGCGCACGTCCCCCTGCTCCGAGCCCGCTGCCCGGGGCCGTGGCGGTGCCCTCGGGGCTATGGGACACGGTAGCTCCGTGGGGTGGGACGGGCCCCAGGCAGCCCTCTCCGTGTGCCCTGGCGCCCGCTCTTGGAGCCAGCCCTCGGCACCGCATCCCCGGGCGCCTCCTGGGAGCCGGGACAGCTCCCTTGGATTGCTCCGGCGACTCCAATCTCTGCAAGGGAGTGGGAATAGCCAGGAAAAGCAGCCTCGGAGGCAGGCGCGAGCAGCAGCCCTGCGTGCAGCTGCTGGGTGTTGTCCTTCTGGGCTGCCCTGTAACTAAAGCCACAGGAGCTCTGTGCCTCTCTTGGCTCAGCGTGGCGAGCGCGCAGCGCCGAGCCGGGTGCCCGGCATGGGGGATCCCGGGAGCCGAGCAATGCCGGGCCGGCGCGCGGGCGCCCTGCTCGATGCCCCGGCCGGGCCTCGCAGGAGGCCCCGTGCGCTCCCAGCCCGGAATGCAGCCACTGCCGCAGCAGGGACTGCACCGCACCGGGGGAACGGCCGCGCCGCACCGCGCGATGGAGGGACACCCTGCTGCCGCGCAGGACGCAATGCCAGCACGGAGCCAGCTCCCCTGCACGAGCTGCGCTGTGCAGCCCCGCGAGGCGCCGCCAGCCCAGCGTGCAGCTCCCAACGTGCAGCACGCGGCCCTGCGTGCCGTGGCGCCTGCGGCTCTGCCGCTCGCGGGCACTGAGTGCCCACCGTTATCTCTGTGCAACATGTGCCCAAGAGCTCTGCAAAGCGCCGGCCGGGGCTGAAAAGCTCCACACAGCCACGCTGAGCTCTGCCGAAAGGCCCCTGCACCAGGAATGCGCCGGGAATGTGGACGCTCCCAGGGAATGGGGAGCGCGGAGAGCAGTGGCCGCCCGGCGAACCCCCCCGCCACGGAGCAAACCCCAACACCGATGCGCTGCAGGAGCCGCTCGCTGAAGGACACCAAGGAGAACTGCACAGAAACACGACTGCTGGGCCCTTCACCCCAAAGGGCGCTTCTGACGAAGACAAACCCGCCCGAAGTACCGCGTGAGCGCGCGTGCAAGCCCGCTGGGCATGCGCGGGCCCGGCCGTGTGCATACCTACCGGCCATGTGCATGCATACACCAGGAAAAGCCCATCAACGTAAGAGCTCTTACGTTATTTCTGTTGCTTTATGCTTTTATTTAAAAACGTTGTTTTCAAATAACCAGTACCAATTTACACATTATTAAAAAATGTATTAAAAATATGTATATAATTTTGTTTGAATAGCCAAAAAATTTGTTGTTGTGTGAGATGCTCCCTGCAGACTTTCCTGTCTCAACTTGTATCTACGCCTTTTTGTTTTAAAAAAGAGAAAAAATAAAGACAGAGAGAAGTGGGGAAGTAAATCTACAAAGAACACGTACGTACCTGGGAACTGATAGCTGTAACTGGGGGCAAATCCAGGGTATCCTCGGCCATACGTTGCAACAAAATTTGGGTAACCTGATTGCAGAAAATAAGAGAGAGAGAAAGAAAAGGTTGAAGATTTTGAAGATTAAGGGTTTTTTTTTTTTTTTTTCCTTGCTGTTAAATGTAATGCACGGTGAAATTATATGATGCAACTCAATTTTACAGAATACAGTGCAAGACAAGGTTTACTCTCAGCATGCAAAACCACAGGGAGGTCTCCGTGCCGGCCCGAGCAGCAGCACCCAGAGGCCAGCGCTGGGAGCCGGGCGCGAGGAGCGCGCACACGTTTCAGCTGCAGGGTAAATGCCAGGCGCTAAGGCTAAACACATAACGCGCTTCGCTCTGACATTTGGAGAGCTTACAGTGAATGTACTTTGCTTCAGAGCTATTGACAGTTGGAGATTAAGGTAGCAGTAATTCTTCATCCCAGGAGTGTGAAGGACAGCAGTTAACACATCAAAGGGCTGCAGCCCCAGCCAAAGAGCTTGGAGCCTTCCAGGAAAGTAGAACTCAGGCAGAAGAAACATGTCCTAAAGCAATTTGTAGGATGTGCCCAGCAGCGCCTGAACCATGGGCGGCTTTTCAAGTTTTTTTCTGAGGAGAGTGCCGCTGCAGAGCGTTCTCTTCAAGCAATCTAACTGGAACTGGAGGGACTCCAATGGGCAGCGACTGTGGAGCGCGGGCCCAGGGGTGTCCCAGTGCTCCTGCTGTGCATGGGGTGCCACAAGGGCAGCCGGCTCACTCCCACATTACTGGCCATTGAACGGGGCACCACTTCTACCCTGCGACGCCCGAGCGTCTCTGCAACGCCAGCGCGGAGCCCGCGGGTGGCCCTGCACCCTGCCATGAGCCTGGCTGCTTCCCTGGATGCTCCGCAGCCCCTGCTCCGGGATTGATCCCGAATGCCACTGGGATGGATCGGTCCCTGAAAAGCAAAAGCTTTTGCAACCCTTTCTTTCCCCTCAACCCGCAATACTGGTAACGGATTGTTTGCTAGGTAAGAAGAGCCGCGACCGCAGAGCCCCTGGTGACGGGGCTCGCCCGGAGCTTCACCGCGCCGTGCGCTCCCCACGCTCCCTGGCTCGGGCGGATGGAATCAGACATGTTTAATACAACATTGCTTCAATTTTCCTCTCCATTTGCTGCTGCGGTGCTGGCTCTGCTCTAACGAGCGCAGGGCCTGGCTGCCTGAATAGCAATAGCCCATTAGCGCCGTGCATGCGCCACGGAGTCCCCGAGGCTGCCGACCTTCCCGCCGTCCCCACCAGCGCCGTCCTCGCCCGGCTCCCACCGAGCAGCCCGGCTGCTCCGAGCCATCTGCCTGGCCATGCACCTCCTGCTGCGAAGCTGGAAGTCCCATTTTCCTGGGATCACCTCCCTTGAAGCGAGACCTGCTCTGCTCCGGAGGAGCTGGATGGAAGGGGAAGACGCGGGCAGATGCGTCGCTGCCTCCCCGGTCCGTACAGCTTATCCAAGAGCACTGCAACGTGGTCTCCTGCCGCCAGCATCCATACAGAGCAGTCTGGGTGACACCGTCCTCCACAAGGAGGGAGAGCCCGTCCGTGGGGACGTCCTTTCACTTGTAAGTTGGGCTGCAGGACCGTGGTCCGCGAGGCGCAAACCTCGCGCTGCCATGTGAGCACAGCGAGTGCGCTGGGCGGCAGGACGCGGCCCAAAGCTTAACGAAAGGTCCCAGTCCTGCAAGCAGCGCAGTTCCCGAGGCGCCCTGGAGCAAGCGCCGGGCTCCTCTCCATGAAGGACGCTCTGACCTTCCTCCCAAGTGCGGCCCCGCGCCACCCAGCTCAGGGTGCTTCAAAGGCACCTGCCCGTGACGTTGACATAAGAACCGGTAGCAGCAGGGAGTGCAGAGCAAAGAGCTTCTCCCCAGGTGCACAGGGCATCGCACACAGGGGAGCCACCACGGAGAAGAACACCTGCCAGAAAAGCTCCATTCTGGGTCCAAAACAACAAAGAAGAAGGGTCTATCTCCTACATTAAAGGAATTAAAAAGCGAAGCTGCACCCATGGTGCCACCTTGGGCAGGGTGAGCGTGACGCGGTGCCGCTCCGCACGCTGCCAGGCTCCCGCAAGCGGTGCCCGACGACGGTCCCTCCCCTCGCCCTGCCTCCCAGGCAGCCGCTGCTCGATTAAGCGGTGTCTGATGGAAAAAGGGAATGACTTTCTCTGAAGGGCACGGGTGTCTGTTCTGCATGAGCTCCGGCCGCCGGCCGGCGCGTGCGCAGAGCGCGGAGCCTGGCAGCGGGCAGCCTGCGGGAGGCTCCGGAGCCCAGTGCTCCCATCAGGAGCAATGGATCCAGCCGTGCCAGGTGGGGGCTCTATGGGCTCGGCTCTCCTGTCCCTAGGGGTTTGCTGGCTACAGGGGCCCAGCACTGTGGCCCGGCTGCACCGTCCCCACGGCACCGCAGCAGAGCCAGTGGTGCAGAACTCTGTCTGGTCACCATGCCCCTTGGCTACTTCCTTGCCTTCCTCCTGTTTTCTGCATTTTCTGGATTCGTTAGTACGGGTGAAGGAGATGGGTGCGAGTCTTGGGGCTGCTGCACTTTCTGATTGAGCTGGAAACACCCCGATCCCTTCTGGGAATGACGCGGCTCCGTTCATGGGCAGCCCCGGTGCTGGGCAGGACGCTGAGGCGGCGCAGCCAGCACTCCCTCCACGCGCCGGGTTGCCAGGGAGAAGATGGCTGGGATGGAGATCATTGCAGCTCGTTCCTTATGCAGAGTGGCTAATTAGCGTCCCTAATCTCCCCCGAGAACGTGCACTTGCCACGAGCAGACAGCGACCGAGACAGCCCAGAGCGGTCCTGGCAAAAGGCTCCGCCTGCCCGCGCTCTCCGCGCCACAGCATCCTTTCTAGAAGAACACTTTAATTTTGTTCCAATCAACCAAATCATCGCAGGACGCGGCTGCCGATGCACCTTTAGACCCCGGCTGCTGCAGCATCCTCGGGGAGGCTGTGATTAATGAAAAAGACCAACTTCCTTAATAGCTTTGGGGGGAGTCGCTCCCCGCTCCTTCCTTTGGGTTGTCTGGCGCGTTCTGCTCCCGCTCCCCTCGTCTGCCGGCAGCATCTGGAGAAGGTGACCTTGAGAGCCCTGCGCAGGCAGGTACCCGAATCCCCGCAGAGCCCTCGCGCGGGCCGGCTCCATCCTGGCCCGAGGCCTCGCCAAGAGCTTCCGCCCCGGGTCTTTCTGCCTAACCCTGGGCCGGGGGGCTCTGCTCTCAAGAGGAGCCGGCTCCAGGGACACAGCAAAAGAACAAGCAGGTAAAACCAGAAAAAAATACATGCTCGAGCACACTGAGAACATGAAAGTGAGAGAATAACACAGTTATCAGAACAGGCTGAAGATTTTAACCCTAAAATCAAATTTCCAAACACTACAGGGGCATCACGGGGGGAGAGAGTGCTGGGACAGAAAAATAGATGTTCAGCTGAAATAACTGAATTACAGCATCCCAGAAATGGATGGCTCCAGCCACACGAACAGCAGTACTATTAATCCAGAGATAAAGTGAACACGGCAGGAAAGTTTTCTCCATCAAAGCAAGTCGCCTGAAGTCAGACATCTCCATGTAACAGCTTCATTTTCATAGGAACTAAATCCTGTGACCTTGCGCCGACTCGGGAAAGCCCTGCAGCTCTGCCAGCCTCTCAGCACTGAAGCTGCTCCTGGATCCGCTCCGCAGAGCTCAGAGAAACAAGGAGCCGGCTCTCACGGTTCGCTGTTGTGCTCGGCTTCTGGGAGCATCTAGGCTTTAGCAAACTTCATCCTCAGGACCTGAAGGGTCTGGCATGTGGAGCGAGGCAGCGGTTCCATCTCTTCCTGGGGTGGCTTTGCCCAAGGACACGGCCTTCTCCTGAGCGCCAAGGCCAGGCCCCGCGCGGGCCAGGCCCGGCAGGGCGGAGGATGCCAGTGACAGCCCCCGTGCGCAGGAGTGATCCCAGGAGCTTCTGGGCCCCTCTGCCCTGGCCAGCGCTCCCAGCCCCGCTGCGCGGGATGCTGAGCCCTCTCCTCGGCCCGTCCCGGGACACGGAGCTCCCGGCGCTTCCAAAGACCGTCTCCAAAGACCACGCAGCCCTTGCAGCCACTGCCAGGGACAGCCAAGGACTGGCCACGAGCGCAGAGGGAGCGGGAAGCTGAAAGAACATCAGGTTCACAAAAACACGTTGGCGACGGATTAGCAGCGTTTCGGCCTGGCAAACGTGACGACTCGATATTGAGAGGCTGTCGGATTAGATAGAAAGAGAAACTATCTGGGCAGAAACAAATAAGAAGCAATTACAACTGAGCAGACCTTGTGCGCAAATAGAATTTTGCCATTAAATACCATTTATCCCACTTAATTAGTATTTTCTGGACACAATACTCAGGCCTAAGATACCGTTCCATCTCCTCGAAACTTGTCATTACTGTTATGCCCTGCACCGGTGTGCAGCTCCCTGCCTCCCAGCCCGCGTGCCATTTAACAACTGGCGAGATTTTCAATTATCTAATGCTGAACTGTCAAAGATACCTTTAAAAGAAGGGGAATAATGTGTGACTCAGTTCCTCTAAAAAAGGGGAGAGATCATTTTTAGTCAGAATGAACACACTGCATCTTTCATCACCCTATTTTTGTGAGTAAAACGGGCTATTTAAAACAACCATTTAAATGCAAATTTTTATATTCCAGGAAGGGGGGGAGTTAATCATTTAGCACAGACAGGATTATTTTCCCCTCTCCACCCCTGCTCAGGTTGCGGCCGGCGCCCACGCGAGCGCGGCGCCGAGCTCGCCCGCTCCCACGCGGGCGGACAGCCCCCCGGAGCGCCGGCTCCAACACCGTGGCCATGGCACTTACCCAACATTCCCATCCCTAGCATAAAAGCGTCCATGGTATAGGGTAATCCGCGTGCCCTTCCTCTCGTCCCTGGTGGAAACATCACTTCTTTAGGCTGTGCTTTCTTACATTCTACCTATTGAGCAGAAACATGTACAAATGAGATGCAAATGAATTCCATGTAAATGTCAAATGCAGAAGGGAGCTAGTTAAAGGGGAGTTTTATTTTTAGCATTTTCCTGCCCGCACCGCCTCCCCCGCAAAGGTGAACTTCAGGAATGGTGTGAACGGCTCGTGGAGCGCTGGCGTGCAGGCTGTGAAGCACCCACAGCAAGGGCACCAGAACGACAAGGGCGCTGCGGGCACCTCCCAGCAATGCCTCGTGGGCGTGGGATGGATGAAGGGAAGTCCTGGGCACTGCTCCATTACGGCGGGAAATGACTCTGGGTGATCCTTACACAAAGCTCCTTTTAAAGCAGAGATAAAGAATCAATATTCCCACCCTTCGGAAAAATCCCGGAACCACTACTAACAGGCACTCGGCATCCTCTCGTGGCCGGGGCTCCGCTGCCTTTGCACGGCGCCTAACGCCCTCTTCAACCCTGCGAGAGGCTCCAGGGAACGCAGCATCCTGACCAGCCCATCCCGAGCAGGATGCCGCGGGCTCGCAGGCTCCTTCTGCACGGGGAATGGGGAACACGGAGCAGCTCTCCACGCTCAGCAGCCCTGGCGCCCGGCCGGAGCGACGGGCGCCGCTCCCGGCGCGCAGCGAGCGCGGCAGGGCGCAGCCCTCCCTCCCCACAGCCCCATCGGTGACCGCGCGCTCCTGCCTTGGCAAAACCCACCGCCTGTTCCTAGGCAACCTCCTCAGCGAAAGCCTCACGTTTATACAATTTCCATGTAGGTAACATAAAGGTTAACTGACTGTAATGGGAGCATTTGAAACAGACCCACCCACTCCTCCCGTTTCCGAGGCAAGCCTCCCGGCAGATCGTATTTACGGAGCGCGCTCCAACACTTCCCGGCGCTGCAATGCTCAGCCCCAGCCCGCGCTGTCAAAACATGACTTCTTGCAAACAAACTGCCAGAATCTAATGAAGTTTGGAGGCAAGTTCCTCGAGAGCTCGACTTCTGCTGCTGTATCTGGGTCACCGCAGGGGCTAACGGGCGCCGCTCTCAGCGACAGCCCCGTCTCCTTCACGAGCCGAGGTCCTGCCGCCCGCATCACGGCTGCCCGGCAGAGCCTTCCCAGCCTCCGTGCACAATTAGCAGGAAAATGAGGTTGGGATTAGCTCCGCCAGAAACAATAACCCCATAACGAGCGCCGGCAGCAGGCGCGGGTGGCCGCTGCTCTCGCGACGCGAGCGGCCGTCGTCAGCCGTGCAGCGAGCGCACACGGAGGCGGGTGGCTGCAAAGGGGTTTTAACTTGCATTTAAAGGGGAAAAAGAAGTCACCAGAAGGAAAGAAAAATAATTCTTAGAGTTTCTGTAAACAAGGGGAGCCCAGGCTGAGCGCGAGGGTGGCAGGGCGCAGGGCAGCGGCTCCGCAGAGCCCGTCCTGCAGGGCCGGGCGGCCACCCGGCTCTGGGCAGGCTCTTCCCAGGGCTCTCCCCAGGGGGACGGCTGCTCCTCAGGCTCAGCTGAGGCAAAGAAAGTCTTAAATGTGAGACTAAAAAAAAAAAGGCAGGAAAATGAAACCCCCCTGTTTTTGTTTAGTCTCGTTTGGAGAATCCCTGCTCCGCTGGGTGCTCGTGGGGCTGGAGGGGCAGCGGGGGCCCGGGCAAGGCCGGGCTGCGCGCGGCGCTGAAAGGGCCCTTGTAGCCAGCACAACAGAGCGGGCTCTCAGCTCCCAGCACGGCCAAAACCGCGGGGAAACCGCGGCCTGCCGGGGAAACCGGAGCGCTCTGTGTGCTCACACCCTCACAGGGCACAGCAAAGCGTTTTACCACCCAAAGACAGGGCAACTTTGTCCTGTGGGCAAAGCGCCGTTGACAGCAGCGAGAGCAGAGCCGCCCGCGGTGCCCCGCGATCGCAGGCTGGAGCTCCGGGGAGGGGACCTGGGGCACCTGGAGATGTCACTAAGCCAGGGCTTCCCGGAGCCGGCGGGAAGCTCCAAGCTGGACACAAAGAGGCACCGGATCTTGGCACAGCCAGGCCTGGAGCGGGGGATGAGAGGTCGCCCCGGGCACAGGGCATGTGGGGAGCCTGCAGCCGGACATGTGCCGCATGCATCCGCTCGCCCGGTCCCCAGCCCCCGGTGGCTCCTCTTGCCCCTTCCCGGGGGAGGTTCCTCCTTGCACGTCTCCCCTCTAGAGAGCACCATGAGCACCGCCAAGATCGGCACCAACGGAGCCGTCCCAAGTGCCGGGAAATGAGGGGCCATTCCCCGCGAGCCATCCTCCTGGCCAGGAGCGCTGCAAGCCACAGCGCCCACGGGCCCGGCCTCTTCCAGACACGGCAGAACCAAGGCACGAGACCTGCTCCATGGGCTCTGCCGGGCTGGTGCTGCGGCTGCTCGAGGCTGGCTCCTGCACGGTGCTTCCCAACTCCTGGGCCACTGGTTTTGAGGGAGAAATGGGGGAAAAAGCCCAGGGAGGTGCCCATGGTCGCCTGGACTTGGCGGATCACTGCTGCCCACACCCTCGGGCTGAGGGCATCCGCTCCCCCGGCCCAGCCTGGGCACTGCAACCAAGGGACCGCTGCTGCTACTGCAGATCCATATTGCAGCGAGCAGCAATATGAGCAATATTATTTCAGTGCCCTGGGAAAAATTAGCAAGTCAAATATTGAATCAGGCCTCCAGCATATGCCAAGGAGATTGCTTTGATCTTATCCACACTAAAAGCTCTATTATTGAATTTAGAGTCTGTGAACACATATCAGACCAATATACAATGCATATCTGAACACACATTTGAGCAGCAAAGGATGTTTTGACAAAAGGAAAAAGAGTATTTTCTGAAAATATCAAAGTTATTGCATCAATTGAAATACAAATGTCCGTGCTCATCCAGCTCGGGGGCTTTACTGACAGGAGGACCATGACCCGGGCAGACTTGAACTGGGGAGAAACCTCAGGGCTGTGCAGGACGGGCGCCGGTGCGGGGACGACAGCGACGCTCGCCCATGCACACACATACATGGGCACGGCAGGGGAGAAACAAACACTTACCATTTTATTATTGATCTCGTGGAAATGAATTTCACAGACTTTTTCCACCACGTCTTCATTTTCAAAAGTTACGAAGCCAAATCCTGGTTAATAAAGAAAAAAAAAAGTGGAAAGAGAGGAAAATATTAACCGTGTCGTACAGATTTCATTGTAACAGAGCATTATTTAGGCACCTTGGGGCTTTGAGAACTTTCATATCAAAATACATGTGTAAAAACTGTTGCTTTCTATGGAGCAACTGCAGAGCCTATTACAGGCTAATGGAGGGAGGAAACGGCATCTCCAGAAGAAGTAATTGGGCTCTGTTGCAGTCCTCCCATAGGATTTAATGGAGAGCTAAAGTCTCCTTATAGATTTTCTGATCCATCCTAAAGAACTTAATGGACAGTTAGATCGCCGCTAGCGAAGGCTCAGGAACTGCAGCACGGCGATATTCCCTTCCGTGTATCCCAGCTTCCTAAGAGCCACCTCCACGAAACCCGATTATGGTTTGCAGGAAGTGCATGGATTTTCCCTTGCTGAATTCCCGGGAGCTCTCCATGAGGGATGAGCTGGCTGGGGGCGAGAGGCCGCGGCTGCTGCCGGCCGCGTGGTCGGGCTCTGACCCCCTCTTCCCGAATTGCCTCCTCCAAGGCCTCCTGCGGCCGCCGGGGCACGCGGCTGCTCCCGCTCTGCGCTGCGCCGGAGCCCTCGGCCGCGCCACGCGGCTCCGGCAGAGCGGCTCCCAGCCGCGGCCTTGCCACGAAGCGCCCAGCACAAACTGCTGCAAAACTGCAGGCAAACTGCAGGCAAACTGCAGCCAAAACTGCAAAAATGCAGCAAAACTGCAGCAAAACCTGCAGCAAAACTGCAGGCAAAACTGCAGGCAAACTGCAAAACTGCTGGGCAGGGCTGCTCACCTTTGTTTTCGCCTTTGAAATAGCAGCTTCCAACTTTTTATAACTGCACGTGCAAAAGAAAAGAAGCCCAAAAGCCCTCCTGCATGCATGCCTTATTAGTCAGCATAATGAATACATGCTCCCTTTTATACCAAACTCGAGAAACCTTCCTGGCTAAATAGACCATTATTTCTTCTGAGAGGTACTAAGAGTCACCAAAAAAAACGACCCTGGGGAAGTGCATGGAAAAGATTAACACAAAACAAAGCAGGCTGCTTAAAATGGTGACAGAAATAGGATGCTGGTTGTCAAGGAGCACACATTTTAAAATGAAATTATACCGCATCCTTCTGAATGAAGCTATTATTGGAAGCTAACAAGCTCCATTTAAGAGATAAGCATTTAACAGAGTCAAACGGTTGGGTTTTTATTCAAATGAATAAAACTGAATATTCATTTGAATAATCTTTCCTGTAAGAGAAAAGACAAAGAAAAGGGGAGAAAAATAAAATAAGAGGCAAACAGTTGCACCAGACGAGAGGCCTGTGGCCAGGGGCTCTCCAAGGGGAGCTGAGACTCGTTCCCAGGAGTTCCAGGTGGGAAAGGGCTCCCTGGAGCAGGGCTCCAGGGGCCGCACGGCTCCAAGCGCCCTGGAGCAGGGGCCTCAGCCCCACGCACAGAGGTGCTGGGCACAGAACGTGGGTGGGCACGGGGGGCTTGGAGAGCCGGGTACCCCAGGCACCCGCGTAACCCCGCGCATCCCTGGAAAGGCTCCCGAGCAGCGGCGCTGGCCACGGCACCCAGGGCGCTCGCCACCTCCTCCTGCCACCCCGAGGGGCTCCCCGTGGCCGGAGCTGTGGTCACGCGCTCTGCCAGCAGCTCCAACGGGGAGGTTTAAAGCGATTCAAGACAAGATCACTGGAAACCACAACAAGGAAGTAGCTGCTCCGAGGACACCGCGCGTGCCGCGCTCCGCACCTGGCCTTCCCCACGCCAGCCGGCCCCGTTTCGCACCCGCGCTTGCAGGTTTTGTGTCAGCTTCAGTAGCAGAGAGCCGAGACGTCACCACGAAGCGGCTCTGCCCTCGGCTCGGCCGGGCGCGCCGCGCGCCTGCAGCTCCGCGCGGGACGCGGTGGCCCAAGAGGCCGATGCAGCCAGGCTTGGCGCTGCTCCGCCAGCTTGGGTTTGTGCCTCCTCATTTTGCTGCCCTTAAGTATTTTAAGTTTTGAAGCACGAAACTCCCCAGTCCTACTGGGTGTTATTTACGCACCTGCTCTCTTGTTTACACCCATCGGTTTGGCAGCTGCCAGCTATAATCTGTAATAAAATACCTCTTGGAAAGTGAAAAAATAAAATAAAAAATGAAGAATTTTTTTTTCTTCCAGACCAGACAAGCCAGGCATAATAATATTAAAGCCCCTGTCAATTAATTTTTCCTCCTTTTGATAAACGAGCCCTATTCCATCCATTAATGATGAGGGAAGAAACACGAAAAGTTGACACGAGCTTCATTTGTTTCCCTGCCTTGCCTGCTTGCGCTCCTCGCGGCGCGGAGCGGCCGGGCTCGCACGCGGACCTGCCACCACGCGGCCACACGGACCCAAGTGGCACCTGAACTTTGCGTGATAAATCTTTCATAACAACAAATCTTCATTAAAATTTTATTCTATTAACATTCTGGAATCAAACCAGAGTGCTGAGTACATAATGACTAAAACGCGCACTACACAGCGACTTAATAAATGCCAGTTCTATCATCCTGCTAATTAACAGGAACCATTAATACATTCCCGGATCGTTCGGAAGCATCAGCGGTGACCAAGGGAAACGGCGCGCACGTGTCAGTCACCCACGTCTGCCTTTCTCACCTCGGAATGTTCTACAGAGAAGAGCCCAAAGTTTCCTCCCGACTGAGCTCCTGCCTCTGTCTCGGAGTCATCGCGCTGGGCCGCTCACGTTTATGGAGCCCGGGGTTTAATGCCTCGGTCTGGAGCAGGAGGAAGGCGCCTCAGGGGCAGGACCTGCCGCAGAGACAAACCCAACACTCCCCATGCCGAGGACAAGCGCAACCCGCTGTCACCCCAGCTGGGAGGACAGGTCAACATCGCAGCGCTTGCGGGGTCTCCAGCATCACGAGCATCTCCTGCTAACGGGCTCAAGCGGCGCGGGGAGCAGGAGTGTCCTGAGACGCACGGCCCCGGCTCCCCGGCCCCGCGGGAGGAGAAGGACAGACCCTTCTGCAGGGGACGGAGCTATCCTGGCCCGGCGGCCGCGGGCCCAGCAAGTCCTGCCATCGCTATCGCTCTGCCTACAGGCGCCAAACACTCTCTGCCTGTCAATTCTTCCACAATTTATTACCAAATTTCTAAAATACTACATTTTTTATTATATCCAAATTCACTTTATTGCATTTGACAATACAGATAATCACATACCATATGCTCTAATGTTCTGAAACCAATGCATGTTGACAGCAGTTTTTATTCATGATGCATAATTCCAACCACGGCTCTCAGAAGGCGGGGCAGCACCAAGCCCGGCGCTAGGGTTCTGTTGTCAGGGGGATTTTCCCCCCTTTTCCCTTTCCTCACTTTAGCAACAGATTTATAACCGTGGCAGGAAAGCTGTTTCTCTGCAGTTTCCTACGGCTGTTTCTCTGCAGTTTCCCAGGGCCGCACGCGGGACGCAGCCGCTGCCCTCGCGCGTCCCCTCTGCAGATCCCCCTGTCTCTGCAGCTCTACGTGCGCGTTTGCAGACACACGTTTGCGTACAGACAGGCAGACACTGACTCTCCTGCCTTGCCCCGTGCACCAAGAAGCTGCGCGGAGCAACAGGCTGGAGGCTCCCGCCCTGCTTGGCCATCAGAATTGGGGGACACCGCAGCGTCCAGCCCGTTACCTCTTTTCAAGCACCTAAAATCTTTACAAGACACTGTGCCCCAGGAGCAGAGCTGCAAGACAGCAGCACCCTGTGCAAGGAGCAGAGGCCTCCTGGCAAACACCAACGGCCTCCCCAAGGCGGGGGCTGCCGCGGGGCCACGAGCTGGGCACACACCGGGACCCTCGGGTACCGCTCGGCCGGTGACCGCGTGGTCCCCCCTGCCCCAACACGGCCCCCACAGCTACCTCCTGCATCCATTGCACATCCCACAGGCCCATGGACCTCGCAAACGGGAAGAAAAGAGGGAAAAACATTAGCAAGAGCCATCCCCGTGCAAGCAGGGTACCTGCGCGAGCCACCGACGCAAGCAGCGTCCCCAGGGCCACCGCGGGCACCAGGACAGAGCCCCGGGCAGCCCGGTGCCAGGCGCAGCAGAGCCGGAGCCGTGGCTGGCACCGGGGAGGCGCCGCCGGGGCGGCGCGGCGCTCGTGCCGGCAGGTACCGCGTGGCCGCGCGCCAGCCCCGCCGCCGCGCTCGCCGTGCCACCGCAGCCACGCGCTACTTAATTGCATTATAATTTCAAAAGTGCTTTTCAAACTGGAAAAAGGCATTCACTGATTAACCAGCGAAGAGCAAAATTGTTTATGAAATTGAATACAAAAAGCTACAGAAATGTAATTGGGTCGTTCTAGCACCTAATTTTCAAGCCATTTTCCCACTTATTTAATCACGAGATACAAAAGGAACTAGTGAATTGACTTCATACTAATTAGATTACTCCCCGCGATACTCCAGGCCCATATTCCAACTGCTCGATAGCGCCGCTGGAAAAGGAGAGAGCAAATGCAGCAAGAGCTGGCGTGGGGCCGGCCGGGCGGGGTTGGGCGAGCGCGGCTTGCGGCAGGGCCACGGACAGGCCCGAGCGCCCGGGGACGCAGACGCTGCCGTGCATCCCACACCAACCTCCTCGTTGCACGGCTGAGCCTCTCCCGCCGCTCTGCCCGGCTGCTTTGGACTCTCCACACACACACACACACAAATACACACACACGTGCCCTCGCCGCCCAAGAGGGCAGAAGTTCCTCCAAACACACCCAGGACCCGGGGCAACCTGCACAGAGCTTTTCCACTAATTCTGAATTTTACTAGGCGCAACGTAATTGATTATATAATCAAATGCAGAATGTACATTATCAAGATATTGTAGCACTTCACAGGCCATTTAATCAGCATCGCTGGGGCTGTGCCAAAATGAATTAGCTTGCATTAAATTTCAAGTACATATTATTGGTTGTATTTGTCTCTACGCTCACGCAGGCCCTTGC